TCATGGGGGTCCAACCCAAGATTTGCACGACTCTGACTTTGAATGTTACAGTCATTGTGGCATTGAATTCCAGGGTGGAAACATCAGTTTAATTGTTTTAGTGACCAGAAAACAAATTTTGATATGCGTTGGCTTACCCAAAATGAAAGGTTACGTGCCCTTGGCATGCTACAGATCGGCACAACACAGGCGGTTGTGGCGCGGACGATGAATGTTTCTCAGTCTGTCATAAGCAGGCTATGGTCCAGATACCGTGATACACAATCTGTACAGGACAGACCACGCTCAGGTCGACCAAGGGCGACAACTCAAGCCCAGGATCGATTTATCCGTACCTTGGCCTTGAGAAATCCTGTCATCACAGCAAATCAGATCAGCGCTCGTCTTCAAACAGACACTGGTGTGAGAGTGAGTGGCCAGACGATTCGGAATCGACTGCATAGGGGTCACCTTCGCGCCTGACGTCCTCGCGTGATCCCTTGTTTGAGAGATCATCACATTCAGGCAAGACGTCGTTGGTGTAGGGATCGTCAAAACTGGGATAATCGACGCTGGAGCAATGTGATGTTTTCAGATGAGTCAAGGTTCACTGTTGATTTTTTGGACAGACGTAGGAGGGTGTGGCGTCGTCGAAACGAGCGCTTCCAAGACGTTAACGTCATCAGACATGATCGATTTGGGGGTGGTTCTGTTATGGTGTGGGGAGGCATCACTGTTGCTGGAAGAACGGCTTTACATGTTGTTGCAGGGCGTGTTACAGGCCAGTACTACCGGGACAACATCTTGGCAGTCCATGTTGTGCCATTCGCACGACGTCATGGCCGCCGTTTCATCTTCCAGGATGACAACGCAAGATGTCAAAGGGCCAGGATCGTTACAGGTTACCTCCAACAACAGAACATCACCACATTACCTTGGCCAGCACGGAGTCCCGACCTCTCCCCCATCGAGCATGTCTGGGACATGCTTGGACAGAGGTTACGTCAACGTCAACAACGTCCTGCCAATGTCCAAGAACTTGCTGCTGCGTTGCAACAGGAATTGGACAATCTGGACCAAAATGACCTTAGACGTCTCATTAGGAGTATGCCACGTCGGATCAATGCTTGTTTGGCAAACAGAGGAGGATTTACCCGTTACTGACTTGGTTGTGATGCTGTGGTAACTTTGCTGTTTGACCCCGGGTATCATTTTACCCTTATAATGGTCAGTCTGTGCCTTACTTAGTCTAACGATCATTTGGAATAAATCGATGAATGTGAACTTCATTTCATTTTGTCATTTGTTTCTTCGTCAGTTTCATTAGGTGACTTTAATAACACTTAAAAATCAAATATCCCCTACTTTTTTTGAATAGTATATAAAAAGACAAATGTATGTAAGATGAATTATTAGATGGAGAGACCTGCTTAGAGAACCTATATACTAGTTACATGAAGTTGTAAGTTGTTGGTGTTATTTGCTCCTGAAATAAGTGTTAAAGATCCATTCCAAGAATCTGTATTCATTTCCGATACTTAGAGAATATACGTCGACAAACTACATTCCCTGAAAGTCGAACAGTGTTACTTCTGTAGCACTAACTCGAATTTTTCATTGAGTGATGTGACTATTCAATAAGGATCATTTAAATGCAGCACTATCCTGCAAAATTCAGATATGAACAGTGTCAGCACTGATGAATACATGCAGACCTGACACAGATGTAGGTGTTGCCAGATAATGTGTTGATCTTATCGAGGCATTGTCATGTGTTGCCATCCAGTGTTGCATTTTCGTTGTGTGACAGTAGATATTTCTACTTTTAAGGATTCTTCAAATCTTTTTCCTTTTTGCAAAAGATAACATCAAAATGGCTCCCAGTCAATGAAAGGTTGAAAAGTTGTTGCAATGGCATGAAAATTGCACAGATTAACAAGGGATAAAGCTTTTAGAATTGAAATGAAATGAAATGAAATGAGGTTTACTGTCCTACTGTTCTGCTCCTAAACTGGGCTAATGAAGACGGGAATACGCCATACAGTGTGCTATGAGGGAAATTTTGCCCAGGCAGCGACTTTACAGCCTACTCTTATATCAAATTCCAACTGCCAAGGGATCTTTTACGTGCACGCCAATTTGTACACGGGACCTTGGTTTTTCGTCAAATCCTTTTAGAATTGATAAATGCAAAGACAGTAATAGTGCTGCTTGGGTAAAATCCTGCTTAATGGTATTGCCGACATTATTATCAAACATAAACAGAAATTTTGTTGTTCTTTATAGAGTACATCCAATCGTGTAGGCTTGCTCCGGGTCCTCTGATTGTCTTCCAATCCTAAAGGCCCTATGTGCAAGTAAATTATTGAAATTGCACCATATGTCAGTCCTGAAGTTTATGTTGACTGGACATTTAACCCCATTTATCTCTCTTTAGGCCCGACATTTTTAATTTCATTGTTTACAGATTTTTTGGCAGCACTTTAGGTTGGGTAGGTCAAAATAAAAATAAAAATAAATTTAAACTTTAGATTTTTTTTTCAGCACAGCGTTATCATATTGGTTGGGTAGGTCGGTTAAAAAAAAAAACCAAAAAAAAAACCACAAAATATTGTTAACAAAACAAAATAAGTGTGTGACAATATATTATGTATCACTGTTAACCAGTATACGATGTCACAAACTAGGAAATGGGTTAATTATAAGAGTCTATTCCCTTTGATATAACTAGACTTCAACAAAAATAATTCTTGGTAATTTATGGAGAATGTCGTATGTATGTGATTACCACAAAAATAACGACAGAGGTACACCTTTTGAAAATTTTCCATATTTAATTCACGTACCAACTTGAAGTTCACGTCAGTAATATTCCAGAATAAATTACCGTCTTCGTTTATTCGATGAAACGTTCGCGTTTCATAAGTCGATGATCTAAAATATTAGTATTTTTCTACTATTGCCAGTATCAGAAAATGCCGTACATGTAGCCAAAATAGGCTAATACGGCACCATGGCATTTCTTCATAACACAATTTGTAGTTTTCTGTCTATCACGCAGCAAGTCACGTAACTTGCAAAAGTTTTTATTCATTCGCCAATGATAGACACACGGTACAATTATCACGTGACAACCATACTTGAAACTGTTTTTAAAAAAAATTCTGCGCGATTATGATATAGCCTTCAATAAAAACGACAATATTTTTAAGTTTAAGCCTTTGTCAAAATGTGTATAAAATAAAAAAAATCATAACGGTAAGCGCGATTTCGAACTGGTTTATTGACCTAATTCGCCATTGAAATTCAGCATTGGAGATGCCATCAGGTAAATATATTATTAAATGATTGTTTCTCGGTGTATTCGATGTTCTATCAGGGGATTATATTCAATGAAGATTTAAATTTACCTAACAATTGGTCAATGAATCCATCAATGTATGATCCAGTTATTATTATAATATCTACCGGTACCTGGAATTCATACGCGGCGTGGAAGACGCTCGATTGGCAAACCATGCCGAGATCGTCTTCTTTTGTCACGTAGGTTTCAATTCATGGTCTTTCTTAACTGAATAATTTTTTAAACGATAAGGCGATACGGCCATATTACGTTTCGATATAAATATCGCTGGAATGTATTGATACATATCGGTGTATCGATATATCGACACAGCCCTAACAACGATACCTGTATGTGTATCGAAACGTAGCTTGTTAATAAATTCAGAAGTAGTATATCCATATAAGTGCGTATAGTGTCCGATGAATTTATTTTCACAAATGATCTTTGATTAATTCCCGTTTCTTGCCACACGTTGAGGCACAGATATCCCGCCATTTTGAATGACAGTTCTCGTGGGATAACGCTCTCGCTCATGTTGTCTTACTGCACAGCACGCGATGTTTCCTAAATACACGGGATACATTGAAGCCAATGTATCAAAATGAAAATTGATAAACATTAATAAAAAAAATATGACAACAAACAAAGATTTTATTTCATGTATGGGTCGGAAATAAAATAAAATTAAATTCTCAAGTTACATATTTATTTTTTTATCGGGAGGTTCACGCTTCAGTCGGCGGGTCTGTAAAACGAAAAATCAAAAAAGTGTCGCCTTAAGGAGTAAAAAATAAAGATTATATTTAATTTATTTTGAGATTTAATCTTGTTTAAATTTATTTTTAATATGGATATTGGGTTTTTAGTTTATTTTTCCTAGGACATGCGCATTTAGAAATTGCATTATTTAAATCTTTATACAGAAAATTTGTACCATATTAATATTGAATTGTATCGTCACCTGCCATATTTTAGTAATAAGCAGTCATTACAGGAAGAAACTGTTCGTTATACCTCTCTTTACATTGTCAGTCATATTCAATAAAAATCTGTTGTTTATTTGTTATTGTTAAAGGACCAAGTGCTATGAAAGCTAGTGTAACAGCAGTTATTTGGAGCTGAATAAAACTATCAGATCAATATGAGACCTGAATAGGTGCTTACATGTTTAAATATTACTGAAACCACATGTTACTATGTGCTTTATCCGTCAACCAATATATTTCTTTCTTTGAACATTACTTTGCCTACATATGCTGTTTAGAATAATTGCATGTAATGAGGTGCTCTGTTTTGTCAACTTATTATGTATTGACTTGTGACAAAGTAAGAGTGAACACTGAGGCAGATTTAACACGCTTATAGTCAATTAGTTAATCCTTATCAATCCTTATCGTGTACATATATACACTGGTAGCATTGGCAGGTATTGATTTCTATTAATCCTATTTCATGCTCATGTCACTGATAGACTTCCTGCATTGTAATATTTATTACTTATTGATGTCAACAAGATAAAATGATTTTTACTGATAACTTGTATTTATCAGGTTCTATTAAGTACAGGTATTTCAACAGGTAAATGGTGGTTATGTTTAAGTTATTACATTGTCACTTAAATGTTTTTGGGGGTTTTTTTTTTTCAAGTTAAATATATAGATTTATTTTTTTTCAGCGGCCAGAATTGAGCAATATAGATATTTATGATGTGAAGGGCGAAAGGATGTAAACCCTCCAGTGTGGCCATTTCAACAATAAGACGCCATGATAGAAATGGAAAGACATGTCAACCAGACCAATGACAGGTTGCATTGTATTAAACAGGTGAGTTACATTATGTTAATTGCAGTCAGGGTCACAGTACATGCGATTCACATGGTGGGATATAAGTAATAGTTTGCCTGACAAATAGTTGACATGAAAAATGACTGCATGACAAAATGGCAATAGTTGACATGAAAAATGGGCTATACTATATACCGAAAAACACCGGAAAACTACCGGAAAACACCATGTTATACTGAATACCGGAAAACACCGGAAAAACACTAAATACCGGAAACCACCCTAAATAGGTAACCCGGAGAAGGGCTATACTATAAACCGGAAACTAACCCTAACCCAGTCACACAGAGGACCAGGCTTCCGGTTACCTATTTAGGGTGCTAGTCTCCAGGTTACCTATTTAGAGTGTTTTCCGGTATTTAGTGTTTTTCCGGTGTTTTCCGGTTGTTTTCTGGTGTTTTCCGGTATATAGTATTGCCGTGAAAAATGACAGCATGCCAAAATGCTAATAGCTTACATGAAAACGACTGCATGACAAAATGGCAATAGTTGACGTTTAAAAATGACTGAATGGCAAAAAATGATAATAGTTGACATGAAATGTGACTGCATGGTAATAGTTGATGCGAAGTTCTGCATAGAGATATAGTAATATTTAAAAGGAGGTGTAGTTGATATGATGTGAGATTTAAAAGTGTATAAGTGTAGTTGTAACGAGAACATGGTTGACCTGAAATATACGAGATAGTGAAAATGTTTATATAATGTTTGGTGGTGCAGATATATTGGTTGACATAAGAGTAATGGTTAGTAAAGGCTAAAGAGGTAATATTTGGAATTCAAAGTATTGCGTGGTGCAGAGATAATAATTGACATGCAATTTATTAGGTGGTGTTGAGATAACATAAGATCATCTGTGTGTTAAAGTGATAATATGAGATTTACTAGGTGGTGTTGAGATATAGTTAACGTAAGATCTTCTGTGTGGTAAGTAAAGTGGTAACATCAAATTAATAGGTGGTGTTGAGATAATAGTAAACCTAAGATCTTCTGTGTGGTAAAATGGAATATGAGATTTAATTGGTAGTGATGGGATAATTGTTAACATATATCTTCTGTTTGGTAAAGTGGTATGAGATTTGATTGTTTGTGTTGCGATAATGAGATCTTCTGCGTGGTAATTAATGTGGTCATACATAGTTGACATGACATTTACTTGGTGGTGAAATGATAACGATGAAGGTTGTATAATAATATAATGGCAGTTAACTCTGGGTGTATGGTTGGATAATAGTATGGTGTTAATTAACACTGAGATCAAACTAGTATTGTTGTTCCAGTGATGATAACAGAGCTGCCAGTTGACATTTAAAGAGAATGATAACTGACGGGTTGATGACAAAGTGAACTAATGTTTGGATAATGATAAAAAGTTAAGACTGATGGTTGGATAACGATAAAAAGTTAAGACTGATGGTTGGATAATGATGATAACCAGTTAACACAGTGGTTGAATAATGATCACCAATTAGCATAGCAGTCACACTGATGATTGGATAATAATATCCAGTTAATAATGAATATGATGATGATCACACTGATGGTTGGATGATAATACCGAGGTAATAATGAATATGATGATGATGATCACACTGATGGTTGGTTAGTAATACCCAGATGATAATGATGATGACACTCACTGATGGTTGGATAATAATACACAGGAAATAATGATGATCGCATTGGGTAAAGGAATGTGGCAATCACACAGGTGGTTGGATTTTGATACCTGCCGTTTGCACAGTCATCACACTAATAGTAGTAAAGTAACTGCAAAACAAATTGACAGGCCTTGTAAATATTTTCCCTATTCAAAACTTTCTTTTGAAACCGGAGGCCCATATTTTCCAAAATACAGACTTAAATAAGCAGGATGAAAACTGCTAATTATCATGCACAAGGTATGAAATAAACCAGAAAAAAAATCTAATTAATGAAATCTACATGTCTGAAAAATCTTGTACATGATCTTTTAATCGGTATTAATAAAACATCAATTACTTTATCCCCTTATAGTAGATCTCAACCAATATAGTTAGCGTGAGTATACATAAAGCCTGTAGTTCATTTGTTCATTAGCCCAAGGTGTGAGTATTCTAACAGTTATAGGTTGCTGATTATTACCTTTTAGTAGATTTAGCTTTTGACGGCTTTCTATTATGAAATGTGATCATGTCATCAATATGTAATGATACCTGTGGTACAAGCAGACAATAATGGCTGTTAATGGACCGTTTGCTGAAATATTATAGAATGTTAATTAGCATCTAAAAACACTGGTTGTAAATATTACCAAGCAAAGCCGATAAAGGTTGTGAAAAATAAGAGAGTGGACGTTTCAAGAGCTAGAAAGCCTGTCATAAAAGACATGTGAGAAATAGATTAATGATATCTAGAGAAAGGCATTGTATTCAATGTGCCATGACTAATCTAATATTATATTGTATCATGGGCTAATACTAGCACTACTTGTGTAATAATATTGCCAGCTATACTGGTTAAACAGCAAGCATACTAGTATGCATTAGCTTGATTAACTTGTCTTTCCCTAGGGTCACTTCTATTGCCTACTTTTTAGTGAGAGACTGAGCGTGATAGTGGAAAATGTCATTCGGGTAGATATTGGTGATAATTAGTTGTGGTAGAATTGCTGTAACTATTGTCTTGATGTCACAGCATGTAGGAGGTGGTAGTGGGCAGATTAATCTTCCTCATATTCTGACGTCTATCAGATCTTTTTTCGTCTTCACTTTCTAAATATGAAGTACAAACTGGTTTTTTTTCATCAATATCTAGTGTAATTATTATTAAGATGTTGTAGAAATTCTTTTCTTGTTTCGCATATAATTTGATTGATATACAAATCTAATACAAGTGTGTGGAGTATTTCATAAAATATTATTGTCACACATTGTCCAGTCAGTCGTCATCCCCAATTGCTTGTGGAAGCTCTTAGAGGCTAAAGGTAAAGTTACCATCCAACTGGTTTTAAATTTATACATGTTGTTAATAGTCCTACAGTGAAGAATCCTATTGTTTTTCCCTAATTTCCAATAATTACTTGAAGAGTTGTATATGCAGTTTTTATGTCCATGATTTCCAATAATTACTTTCAGAGTTATGACTCTTGATTACTTTAAAAAATCTTGTGGCCCCCAACAGGCTAAGGTTATCAGCCTATCAATATGAAATATATACACAGTGTTAATGTTCACAAGAAGAAAAAGTCTATTGATCTTCATGGTTGTTGTAGGCCTTGATCAGTTTTAGTGCCATGTAAATGCTTCCATTACCTACAAAAAAATTAAAATGTGACAACCTTTATGGACTGTTCGAACAATTTAGCTGCTGGGAGCATTCGTTTCTTCACCTGGTATTATCTTTGAGTGAAGCAAAAAGGTGGTCTGCCAGGCAACGAATGAACTTGTTGTTCAAATTTTATCATGCAAGAAGTATAACTTTATGGTAATCAATATTAGTTGAATTAGATCAATGCTGTTTCCAAACACGGCTTTTACAGAGCTTTTCCTCAGATTCACTGCTGATCAACTCATCCTTCTACTGAAATATCTTGTTCTCAAACAGTAAAATAACCTCGATAAACCAGACATCTAATAAACCATTAATCAATGTAGTCAGGACTAAATAGTTAGCTAGTAATAAGATAATGTAAATATTGAACGAGATAAAAGCCAGGTTATAGGTTTCTTCTGACAATTTCATTTCATTTGGCTTTTACAGTTCTTGAATGCTAACTGTTTGACAGTCATGCCAGTAGAAACAAGCAGACCCTGTTCGAGGATCTAGCTTGAAGCTACTCGTTGTCCCATACTACTATTGACAATTTCATCTTAATAATTTAAATAGATTAAGTGATAGAATGAATACACAAAATAAATATGAAAATAACCTTTACATCTAGAGTGCTCGCTCACAATACTCTATTAGGTGATCAAGGGAAATAACTATTACAGTAATTAATGGAAATTTAATAGTCTTTATAGTCTTTTACCTCTCACTAATCAGAACAAGGCAAGTAAATTTGAAGCAGATTAGATAATAACTTTGCATAGACTTTAAGACCTTTAGAACGTGCTTTCAATTTCAGTAGTCTTTTGTTCTCATTCGATCTAATATTGTCCCTAATACATGTGAAAATAATATTTTTTGTCTCTATTTTATAATACTTTAAAGATTTTAGATAAAAATAATAAAAAGGTCTTTCGGTTGTAAATCACAAGTATATTGGGATAAGGCTATTGTTAGCTATTGATATCAATAATTTATATTAAAACTACAATTCTTTCCAAACTCTGTATTTTATGTAAATAATTTAGTATACAAACTATTTAAATAACTAATCAATAAAGATCAACATATGGCTATAATTTTGATCCTTGGTATTTGACGTAGAAAACATCAATATTAAATATTAATATACTATGTGTATCAACGAATACAAACCCCAAAATCACTTAAAAGGTTGTGGAAGATTTTGATCAGAACCTTAAACTTTTTTTTACAAAATTTTTATCAAAGTATTCAATCTGCATTTTCAACTCCATGAGCAAAAAAATCCACCCAGTAAAAACAACATGTAATGATATGTTACACCCAAATACTGATAGTCTGATACCCTGAAAATGAAAAATCTTTGCTGTAGTGCCATAAAGTAGAGACACAATTAAGACAATATATTTCTTGATAGCAGCCCAGCCCATTCTTGAATTATAAGCTCTTTCTTTTGCAGCTCTTGCATTCCATTTTTTAAACTTCAACACAAACTCTGCTGGACGGAATAACATTTTCAGTGTCAAATTATGATTGGTTAACAATTGTTTTAACAACCAATCAATGATCTAGTAACAAATTAAACAGGGTCATAAGTGTGAAAGCTGATGTGACCAAAATGTCAGGTGTGGTAAATGTTGGGTTATAAATTCATTAAAGATCTGTCAATACGTAAAGCAAACTTACAGGAAAAAGAATTATATTAGGGTGAAAAACAGATTAATGATTGGTTATTATTAATAATGAAATGAAATTGGGGTTAATGTCTTACTTTTCTGAATCAACTGGGCTAATGATGATCAAAATAAAAGAGATAGAGAGAGAAACAGGTTGAACATCCACTCAACACAAACATTTTTGGACAAACATATGGTTCAATTTTATTTCCATTATTCAATTGTGCAGTGACCGCCCTAGACATTCGCCAATTCGCCAATGGCGACAATTATTTTTATTGGCGAATAAATTGATGATACTGGCGAAAAATTTGGCGAATGAATTTTAGAGAGTGTTATTTCGTAAATCTGCTAATATTAAATTTGAAATCGTCTCATTCAACGCTTCGTTCGATCGACTCGATGGAACGTCTATTTTTAGTACATTAAGTACTCTAGTCTCAACCTTACAAGTCGCAAATCAGTCAATGTTACGCATTAAAACGACCGAAAGATCGAGTCTCGAGACTGTAAATCTTACAAGTCGCAAATCAGTCAATGTTACGCATTAAAACGACCAAAAGATCGAATCTCGAGACTGTAAAATTACACCCCTTTTGTGTGGCACTGCGTTGTTTACTTTCGCTTCACTCCAAGTTTTCTTTACTTACGCAGCAAATAAATAAAACGCACAATAATGACAACTAATACTAGTAAACCCAAAATAAGGATAGATTCCTTTTTCCTTCCTACGACTACCGTTAGTCCAGAATCTACTTCCGTGAGTGAGAGTCATCTCGGACGCAAGTCCTTCGTTGGCTTCATCAACATGTGGACAAAAATTAGACCTTAACCGAGACCGTCGAGCTAACCCTCAATGACCTCATGCTTATAAAAATGGATGGACCGGAATGCATAAATTTTGAATTTGTCAGAGCATTTGATCAGTGGTGTCTTAAAAAGGATCGTCGTGTCTTTTCTGTTATGACGATGAAGTAAATTAAATCATGTGATTGTGAAGTACGTCCTATAAACATTTTTTTGTTATCTGCACTCATTCTCTCAATAATGTGAACTTTTGCATGGACAAGGAGATAAAATAATATTCTTGTGTACTACAATATAAGTACATATTAAACATTTATTTTCATTTTTAATTAACAAACATATGAATAAAAATGATATAAAATATTTGGCTAAAACATTCTGAATTGGCTAAAAAAAATTTGATTTGGCTAAAAATTTGGCTAAAGGTTTTAAGAGTCTAGGGCGGTCACTGATTGTGTATAAAAGTCTTTAGCAGTGGAAGGAAACCGGAGGACCCAGAGAAAACCCATGAGGTTAGGTAGAAGACCTTACTCCTTTTCATGTACAAGTGTGGAATTGAAATCACACCTCTTGACTCAATGATTTGGCCACCCAAACCCCCATATCAAAATAAAACATCAGATTAAATCATTTGTTTTTTTTAAATTTGACCTAACTCAAAGTGGTTTCTGTTCTTTAAGTCCAAGATGTTTCATAAAACATTTTTGCAATGGTTTTTGAACCCAGTAAACCGGTAATGTAATGTAGCTGTTCATCATGACAGAAAATTAAAACTTTTGATTGATAAGTGTACAATTATTGATTTAGTTATTAAAAAAAGATTATTTAAGAGGTAAATTAAAGAAAATGATAAGATTTCTGCTTGAAGACACAAAGCACTTGAATAATGGGTTAAGTGAATCATATTCCTGTTCACAAACACCTAAACTCAGTTACATGCCCTACAGTGGCATTTTTAACCTTTTATTATTGATTGGGTTGGAGTAGTAATGCTGCACCTATTCTGTAATGCCCGTAGAGACTAGTTTTTCAAATATTTTCTGCTCTATAATTCAACTAATGGTGACAATAATCTGTAGCCAGGGGGTAAGTGGTATTCTATTACCCTATACCCATGTTAGTTATGTCTGAAATGCGATGTTGGCCATATTTTTTGTTACTCAAATTATAAAGTTAGTTTTGAGGAGTGAATATGTGTACTTTTATAAACATTGTTTCTATTTTAGTTAAGAAAGCCATATAAATTGATCAATTTTCTATAAAATCTGTTGTGATGGGGATATGGTAATTTTCAATGACATGGAAAACAATATTTATAGTAATTCTAGGACTTTAAATATATGGGTACTCCATATGTTACATTTGTTTGAACTAGAAATCATTGATGTCTGTTGGTTTACTGCACTCTGCAACATGTCCACTCATAATGTCCTACATTAATTACCTTGATAGACTCAATAAGATCATGTTGGTGTCCAGAAAACACTGCTTCTAAGTAAAATGGCCCAGATAAAGTGTTAATTATGATGTCTTCAACATTGTTGAATACATACTTATTCAATAATAAGTTTTAAAAACAAACTGTTTATTGCACAATGTGATCATCTGATTTTCACAGATAATAATTTAGAACATTTAAGTGCTTCAAAACCCAATGTCCCCTTTGGCTGCAGGACTTAAAGCATATATGCCTTAAAGTCTCTGATAGTCATTTAAGAGATTGTTAATGCCTGGCAAACTACAATCTTGTGAAAGTTGAATCTCTAAAAGAAATATTCCAAAGATGGTTCAATTCTGTTCACCATTTGCAAAGATCTGATGATCTGAAAATTTGTCAACATTCGGCATCCACTATAAGCCAGCACCACCTATGATTTTTACTTAAATGTTTTGATGGTCGTCTTTGTAATCCTATTGAATCCAATTCGGGAGATTATTTACCTTTGATATTTTGTTTTCTGAATTAAATTGTTAAATAATCAATATCAATACATTTTAGCGTGAGTTAAGCTGTGAAAAATTAGATATTGTCCAAAAAATACAAATGATGATCAGCAACTTTAATCCAGCTTAAAAATGTTAACCTTAACTTTACAATCTTTAGCATGTCCTCATGTGCAATTTCTATCACCTTCTGAGGTAATTGATGGCCTTATGTAGGATTATCGCATGCATAATTAATTATATCATCTCATAGACAAAGTGTGATCGTCAGATTAGTTAAGCTGGCTTGTCTCACAATCTCAGTGCATGATGCACTCTCCTAATATTGCCTGGAATTTTATTCTAGTTTATCTTTCCCAGTTTAAACAGCGTAATAAATTGAATTGTTTAAATGCGATTTAGCAGCTGACACAGTACAAAACATGACACAATTATATGGAATACAAGTTACTTGAATTTATTACTAGTGACTATTTAACTGAAAGTGATTCAGATTTTTAAATCAAATTTTCAGATTGATTTTACTTTTAAACTAAGTGATATATGGGAGTGGCTAAGTAAGGAAGGTCCTGGCTCACTAATCAGATCCCCTGGTTCGATCCCGGTGTTGGCTGAGAAAATTCCTCAGGATTTTCCAACTATATTCCACTTGTCAGAGTTGCAGGATTGATGGCCTGGCTAGGAGATACAGCGCTTAGTCGTTCGGATAATACAAAAAAAAACAAGGTCCAATATACACTTGACAGTTTGAATTCAAAATAAGTGTAGGCCGTATAGTGCCGGTGACGGGGGAAAATTTCCCTCATAGTACACTATATGGCGCATGCCCGTCTTCGTTAGCGCAGGTGGTGCAGATTAGTAGGATATTAAACCCCATTTAATTTCATTTATGATATCATTTTCACAACATTCACTTGTTTAGGAATTACATATATATATTTGTGCAGCTTGTATGAAGTAGGAAATGATAGATAAGGTACAATATGTTAAAACAATTTGTACTATGTATGTTTAATGGTGTCAGAAGTGTGGTATAATAAAGAGATCAGTAAAGCATGTTTACCACACAACCTACAAGATGGAGTTGTGCTGTGACAGAATACAGAAACTTTTTACTTAATTAGCATGTTGACTAAATCCTTCTCTTCATTCTCTCGACAGGATTTCTAAATTAAACAGATTGCAACATACTTAGAGCTGTTGTGGTGCAGATTTACCATTTAACTTTCTAATAATAATCGTGTCGACAGCCTGCAAGTTTTTGGCTCTATCTATAAATACAACAATATGTAGAAGATATCTGATAGCTTAGCTCCTCACTAAACATTTTTCTAGGAAAAAGAACTCGGCTGGAGGCTAACAATAACATCATGATTTATCTGAATTTTTGTAGCCAGAGAAAAAGCCACATCAGAAGTGAACAAGTAGAGCTATTATATCATTCTTGAGTTTTTCACAAATATATCCTTTTAATTCGTGAAGAGTATATGTTACTTGACGTTTATAACATATTTAGTGTTGTTGAAAAACGCTACTTGATTAATATACGACCCACTCCTACACTTAATATCTTAAATAAAATCACAAGCTAATCTTGTCTTTTTCTGTTAAATGTATGTCATTTTTTACAAAAATATCATTTCTTTCTCTTAAAATTACTGCAACATTTTGTGTACTATATTTATTTTGTATCAAAAAAAAGTCATTTACTTTTAAAATAGTACCCAAATTCAGACTGTTAAGAGTTTAATTTGTTTTTGCTATAAATTTATCAACCTTTTTCATTTTTTTTTCATAGCATTTGCTGACACCAGGAGGGTTTCAAAACGCAGCCAGGGAACTGCTAGAATGGTGCTCTGATCTAAGAGCATTTCAGCGCCAGTTTGAGGAGAGTTTGATGTCCTGTTTAACGGTAAGTTAAATTATAAAAATTAAAAGAAATCATATTTTCAGGTGATGTAATCAGTAAGTTTTATATCAAAATATTTGACAACAGAAATACACATAAGATTGCATACTTCTCAATAATTTGGCAAATCTTGTGGCTACGATTTTTAAGTTGTGAAGGAGCATATGATACTTTTAATCTATGCACCCAATATGTTGCCTTTCTTTCCATGTTATTGTAGTTATCTCCCTTTGGAGTTAATAAATCATCAGTCCAGTGCAATATTATACTCAACACTCTAAATAAATCATTTATTATTAGCTCTTATATAAACACACCATCTTGACTTGCACATATTACAAATATAGCCACTTAAAAATAACTGTAGAAGAATAAGAAAGCAGAACAATCATAGTATGTTAAATGTAGTTATGGTACTGGTAGCTAATGTAAATACCTCCTTTAGGGTATTAACAAACCTTCAACTCCCCTTGATATTTTTAGACCAGTGTAAAATACTTAACACATTTAGCAAGCAATTGAATTAACAGTGAGTATAAGCATCTCTGGTTAACAAATCACCTTGTGTCTTGTGCCTAATAAATAGCATAGAGATGATAAACAGGATAAAGGAGAAGAAGAGTTTATTTTGACAAACATAGAACTCATATCGTCTTGTATGCTTGCTTCACTTGAGATGTGAACCAAGTAAATTGTATGTTTAGCTACGAATGTAACGATAGTAATCTAGCTTTCACTATTGTAAGCAAGATGGGTTTTTATTCTTAGTTTATACATTCTCGAAATATTTGTATGTTTCCGTATTGTAAAACATTTATCAAGCTCTCAGAACAATTTACATCTATTTAGAGTAGGATAATAGGTTTCATGAATATAGAATTTAACAGTATTTTTGTATCTTACAAATTAAAAAAAATATCTGCTTATTAAGTGATTTTTCTCAAGAGTTATTTCAACAAGAATGGTAACAAAATGTATAAATAAATCATAAAAAAGCTGAAGAATGTATAGAAGTAAATATAGGAGATAGTAGATGAGATCTGTGTCACTTAGATGATGTCTGCTGTCAACTTCTTCTGCTTCAAAGTCATTAACCTAACATGACAGTGTCTACAAATACCACATTGTAATAGCCTCACAAACTTAAAAAGAGAAAAACTACAGACATGAGATATTAAGTCTGGTGTAGATGTAATATATTAGATATCTTTGCCCGAGTGACATATTAACTATGTGGGTACAAAATAATACCCAAAACACAAGTGAGTGTTATCAATATAATGAACAATAACTTTGCCCAGAATTAAAGAATTAATTAAGCCCCACAAAAATTAAAATTAAATGTGAAAGCTACCTGCTTGAATCTAAGTAAAAATCCTTTGGTTTTTAAATAGATTTTATGTACAAAGTGTTCCCCACCCCACCCTCTTAGTACTGTCATTAATTGTTGCCTTTACCAGACCCATTGAATAGCTCATTAAAATGGTTGTTTTTGGGGCCCCCAATTCCCTGTAATATCAATATTTAAAATTCTACACACACCTCTCACCTACTTCAACCCCCATCCTCAACTCCCTACAACCACTTTGTCAGAAGTTTTGCATTTGCTACTGAAATTGTCATTTAAAATTCTTACATGCCATCTCAAGCAAGTTTTATTTTGAAATATTTAGCTATTTGCTTTCTGTTTTTAGAACACCTGATACCACTTCTCAATTATTTGAGACAGTCAAAAAGTCAAAAAAAGTTGTTACACTTTTCTATCACAATTTCTGAACTTTGTACTGTAAGGTAGAAGATCTAGATGATACAATGATTTCAATACTTTGCTGAGATAATTGACAAATGAATGGGTTTTTGAGAAGTTCCCTGTAGCAATTTGATGATCGATCATGAAGGATAAGGAAATTAAAAATAATCAAAAACTGTGTTTTTACTAAAGTATAAAAAAATCATCATCAGCCCTTGATTCTAGTCCATGCTTTTTATGGTTTTAAAGTTCTTGCATCTTCTCTCAGACCTGTTGATGTAAATGAAAAGCCAGATAAATTGCTAAAAAAATATGCCATAATGATCTCTTGGGACGAGACTCACCATTGATCTCAAAAAGTTAATCACAAACATTTCTTGGTTTTCAGTTATCGTAAAGTAGAGAGTAATATATTATAGAAAAAGCCTCATTGACAGGCCATCTTCTGATTGAATTCAGAATGTGTTCTGTGCGTCTGCAAAAACATTTGATTGATATACTACCTTTTAAGCACACATTCTCAACTAGTAAAATATGGTTTACTTAAATTTATTGAAGTATTAGACCAGTTTGACCAAATTACATCATGATGGATATCAACAGATTGATTTCAAAGCTGTGAAGTTGACTAGACACAAGAATAAATGTCATTTTCTAGCTTTTCGATAGCATTCACGACGCTCATCGAAGTAGATGAAGTTTGGCGTATGTCCTCAGATGTATTCAAAATATAATCTGGGTATTTGATTATTGTTCAACAAATATATTTTAAGGTTACTAGTTTTATTTGCTTAACTCATTTCTGAAAAGATTGTACATGTTAAAACTGTTTAGTTAAACCTGTATCCAAATCAGATCATGAATAATGCATTAGATCTAATACAAATAATGAAATTGAATAAACTTGTCAAAAGTACACTCAACAGTCTGTGTGTAAAATCAGAGCCGCAGCACGCTTGATGTGTTAATGTTAAGTGTGGATCACATCACCTTGTAAAATGAGCAAAATCTAATCTTCATTATTTAATAAATATTTGTCTCAAACATATTTTGTTTAGTTAGAAAACAATGAATGCTTGGTGTACATCAGGCAATGATGAATATTACAATGCTACGGATTGATTGAAAATTAAATGTAAAAACTCTGACTGATCTGAGTGTATTTGAGAAATTTAGAGATATTTAGTTATTAAACATCTTGGACTCGATGAACATTTTGTCTTTGTATAATTTTCATTTGAATGGAGTGCTATGAAAATGTGCTACACAACCCCTTAAATTGACTTTCTCTGCAGGATAATGTAATAAATGACTCCTGTTCCATTTGAACTAGATAACCCAGCTTATTTTTACACTAGCAAATAATTCAGCATTTTAGATTCTGATTGGTAACATAAAAGACATGATATTATTGATCAAATCATAATGTATTTCATAACATTTCACCTCCAATCTTTCTAAACTGTTATTGATTCCACTATTCCTACTAAAACTGTCATTTTGTATAAAACTAGCTGTAATGACTTTCTGTAGTTTAACACACATTGATCCAGTTACAGACATAAAATAATAGATATTGTGTTGAATCACTTCATTTTACACAATCGCTTGATATTGTCGGTAAAAAGTTATGTCCGCTGGAATGATTTAGATTACGTAGAGATTTTTTTCACTCCATGTTTCTTTTATATGCCCACATTTTCAATTAGATGTATATTGTTGTCGCCCCAGTCTGTCCAGACATCAGGACGTCCATTCACATTTTGTCTCTGGACACTACAGGTCACACTTTTTATCCGATTTTGACGAAATTTGAAAGTTTATATCCCAAAAATCTTGGTTCCTTTCGATATTCACACATATCAGACCATAACTTCCTGAATTGTGGCCCCTGATTGTACGGAAAATCACTTTTTTAGCTTTGGGACCCCCTAGAGATTACAATTTTTATCTGATTTTAAAAATCGTTCAGATGTATCACCATTATACCATAATGATGGTCCGGGGGGTTGGGTTGCTGAATGGTTAATGCATGCGTGTTGGATCAGAAAGTCTGTCAATTGAGTCAAGTGGCATGGTTTCGATTCCTCTGCCTGTCCAATGTCGTGGGGTTTCTCCAGGTCCTGCGGTTTCCTCCTGCTCCTTAAGACCCCCATGCACAAGTGTATTATTGAAATAAAATTGAACCATATGTTAGTCCCGAAATTACCTAGTTTGTGTCAAGTGGGTGTTAAATCCTGTTTCTCTCTCTCTCACTCTTTCTTTATAAAGGGTCTTTTAATTAGAAACTTTATGAAGATGAATAAACCACCTCTCATTTTCACTTAAGTCTGTTTTTGTACTGCTGTTGAGGGGTGAATTTGAAATATCAACTTTAAAAAGAGAACATGTTTTATAAACATTTAGTTATAAATCTTTAATGCATATTGAATTAGAATTTTGTTAAGTGCTTAATATTATAACATGCGATGTAGAAGATGTGAGTTGAAGCAAGTTAAGACGATTTGGTCCGAAATCAACAATATGGTAACCTTAGAATGAATCTGATTATTGTCGGCCATTTGTATTGGATGGCAGATAATGGTTGTTATCGACCACAATTGAAGTCTGTAATTAGTTCACATCAGTCGCTCAGCTTTAGTGATTCTTCCACCAGCCTTCAGAGTTGTGTTAATTTTATTGATGATCAACTCGCTTACTCTTTGTCAAACTCTTGCCTCTCGCAATTATTGATATGTTTTTCGATTTGGACGCTTAAAGACGCAACTCCTACACGCTTGATGACAGAAGTGAAATTGTATGATAGAGCTTCAAATTAAGTTTTTATAACTGCGAGGTAGCAATTGTTATTCAAGAGTTTATAATCATTGAGCTAGTAATATATGATTTATTGTATGGATTCTATGCTGGCTTACCAAGCATTTTGTTATTGATTAAAAACAACCTTTATTCGTACATTGTTTTTGTCTAACTTCTGCAACAGATCATTTGGGCCTACGCTTGATTATTTATAGAGGTTTCTGTAACATTTCAAGGTTGACAAGTTCTATTAATTTATTGAAGATTAGCACACTTCATATAGACATGACAATGCTATAAGCTTATTTTCTGTGTGATTTATTAAGACTACTGTATCTTGTAGATATAAAATTGTAAAAATGTTTAAACAATTTAAGATTTCTCCCGAGGAGGATAGATATGAAAAGCCAGCTGTGAATTTGATTTTGATATATTATCGTATTAAGTCCTAAAA